CTTCCTGAAATCAGCAGCGATGAAGGGATGCTTGAAGAAAAGCGTCCTTACCTGCTGATGCAAACTCCGAATAAAAAAGAATCGGGGCAAGAAATGGGAGACCTGATCTTGTAGGTGTTTCTGATTAGATATGTTGTTAGAGTGTTCGTATAGTTATGAAGAATTTAATTTGTAATATATTTGTCGGCAATTAAGCAGTGCTCATTGCAGGAGAAAAAGGACAATTGAGACTTTTGAGATTGCTGTTTCTTTGACCTCGAAGAATGCCTATTAATGTGTTTGTGGTGAAATTGGGTGTACCACACGCATCATATAACGCAAACTTTCTACTTGCACCTACACAGATGTCGCTTTTATTCATTTTTTCGTGACTTTTTTCGCAACTTAAACTTCATCCAACCATAATTTTTTAAAATGTTCTTAAATTTCTGAGCTGATTTCCTGGGTTTTGTATTTATTTTCCTTGTATGAGTAAATATTTGAGAACTCAGTTTTGTTATGCAAGATAACACAAAATATAACACTTGATTAGTACAAAATAAAATAGAATTATGGTAATTATGCTTTTATTGTAAATTTTTTGTGTTGTTTTATTAAATAATTCATGAGCTCAGCTCAATGTCATTTCTGTAAAACCGTTGTCTAATTGCAATGCTGTGATCGATATTCTATTGTGATTTATTTCGTTTTCGCATTCAGTGTGAATAAAGTTGCTTTCAAATAATCGCAGTGCTTGCTTATTACTTCCAGTAACTGCCAAATAAACTGCACAATAGCACACATACATAATGTGATAGCTGTACAAGTTTCTTCATTCCAATATATTTTTTGAAATGAAATGGAATTTGGGTAGCTAAGCAGGAAGAAGAGTCTTATGATTGGCACATAAAGTAATTGAGATCAATCGATGTCTCTCTTTGAGTAATCGCTGCATTATTTTTGACAATTTAAAAGAGAAGACCAGTACACTTGATTTATCTCTTTGATTTGTGTGATCATACCTCTATAAATTATTATCTGATCTAATCTATTTATCTTTTTATATATCCCATTTCAGAGTGCTTTAAGTTACATTTACTAAAGAAGACGTGAGAAGACGTATACTTCTTTTAAACTTCAAATTTGAACTTTATTTCAAAGAGTTGCCAAATAATTAAAAGTAATAGACTCTAATAAATAATTCTAGCGTTTGTCGCACTTTTTGAATAGAACAACGTAAACGAAAAAGACGTGAAAAAATTACTGCCTGTGCTAGGGCGTGATTAATAGAAGACTGTGGGTAAAGGGATAACTAATATCATTAAAATCAAAACCTTAAAAAGAGACTTAAACTTTTTGCCACCTCCATAAATAAGCTATCAGTAAAGTCTTCCGATGTCAAGGCAATTCAACCTAAACAATTGTTCAAGCAAGTGATAATATTGCAGGTAATTAGATAATCTTTACCCTAAAATATGATTTTTTTTAGTAAATCTCAAATGTAAATTTTTTCAACTAAAAATTATTTTGAAAGGAGCGGAGTAAAATTGTTAAAAGACAGACCTGAAGTGTTCAATTTAAAGCAATGCAACTTTTTGTAGTAATAATATTGCACCTGGTTGCAGTATTTTCAGATAGCTTTAAGAAACTTTTCTACCATTTCATAGTAGAAAAGACAAAATAAATATAATGAAAAGATCTAAAATGCCTTTTTATGATATAAATTGGAAATAATCGCTCTCTATAAAAGTTGGTTGCTAAGGCAACTAAGCAAACCATTATCAGCTATAATTCAGAATAGATTTTACTTTCGACGTGAAAATCCACTGGTTTCAGTCTCGCAAAATTTCTTAACCTGAAGTGAATCAATGTCGTCCCGACCATCTTCAGCTCGTCCTAAAACTTCAGCTGGTTTGCGTTCCACTTCCGCCCGTCTTCACAAGCCAGCAAATTATAAAAGTGAGCATTTTTTTGCCTTCTTTTTAATTTTTTTAGTATTTCTCATAAGTTTTTGAAAAAAAAATGATAACTTATAATTTTAAATCAACCCATACAGATATCTCTGAGCCACTGGTCACTCATATGGTGATGACTTCAGACCCAGTTGCGTCAGCAGAAGTAATTCGATCAGGTATGATTTTCCTGTTTCTTTGAACATCTGACTCAGTAACTCTTAATTATAACTGCTAAATTAATAATAACTAACTTATAAACCTGTAAACTCAACTATCTAGTTTCATCTTCCAAAACTTCAACGCTTATGTTCAATATTTTTTGGAATTAAGGTTTTATAAAGATATGTAAAACTCATTCAAAGTAAATACTAAATGAACAAATTATAAACTAAAACATTGTTGCAAGTTTTATACGTAAAATTTATATACATAATTATTGCAGTGAGTCGACCTGGGACCAAACCTTACACAAGACAATGTACTACATCAGTAGGCATTCATTTGCTTTTTGAGTACTGAAAAATGAAAACTATAATATATTTTCGCAGTACTTGAGGATTGAATTGCAGCACAGTAATAGACGAAATTATAATGTAATGGATAGTACACAAAGTACCAGACTGTTATCAACCACCTTGCAAACACCAACACCTATTTGTAATGCTATGCGACCTGTCACGCAACAAGGATTAACAGGTGTTAGAGCTGTTACCAAGACTGGAGGTTCATTTTTTTTCTAAATACAAAGTTCTAGATCATTTTTTAAACAATTTTGCCAATTTGTCAACTTTAAAAGTGAGGAAGCAGTATTGCTTATAACTTTCTTTGAAGCAAGAAATATTCTGAAGTTTCTGATCAATATTCTTAATAGTATTTAATAGGTATTAGAGCAGAGCATCTAAGCAGAAAAATTCTGAATAGCCAAAATTACAGCTGGACGATTTGTTGTGGATAAAAATTATTATATATCACTTCTTCGAGCTCAGATGAATAGTTTAAAGCAAGAAATACATCAGCTGCATAGTGAATTGAGCAAGGGTGAATCTGATCGGCAGAATTTATTAATTTACGAAAAAAAGTGAGATTTTTTTGCATAATTTTATAAAATCGAAATCATAGTCAATATTTTTCAATTTTTGATAGATAGATAAGAGTGATTAAAGAGTAAAACACGTGCTGATTAGGTGTTCTTGAAAAGTAAAATTGTCATATTGTTGTTTAATGAATTGAGAAATGTTTATTGCCATGAAGAGACACTTTTGTAATTGCATTAAATTGTTATTAACACTATAATTACCGAAAAATAATAATTTTTAGAGCTGAAGAAGAGGCCAATGAAATTCGGATACTTCAAGGACGTCTAATGGATTGCAACAAGGTGAAAAAATGAAAGTTTGCCAAGTAAAAGTTTGCTACGAAAGTATAATATGAGCAGTTTTCACGTAAGTTATATATAAAATGAACTAAGCTCAGTGCGTATTATTTGCGTTACGCAAGTTTAAGCTAAATTTGGTTTAATTTAGTGCTGAATTTTTTGCTTGTTTCTTGTGCTTCCATAAAATCTATAATAAAGCATACTAAAATTTATTTTTTAAACTTAAAATAAATAAGCAAATTGAAAGCACAATCTGATATTGCAGATAGTTGACATGATGAATACGAATTCAGATTTGCGCGAAATAAATGATGAATTAAGCAAATTACAAGGAGAAAAAGTCTTAGCAGAAGAAAGTCTGAATAAAATTGTAGAAGACAGACGCATAAAAGAAGAACGTATCAAAGAGATCGAAGACGAAATCGAACAACAAAAAGTATACAACAATAATGTGCTTAATTCTGTGGTAAGTGTAATGTATTTTAGCACAAAAACTTTACAATAAAATATTTGTTGGTAAGTTTCTGATGTATTAGTTAGTGTAAGAATCTTTTGCAGTGAAGCTTTTTCTTGAATTTGTAATTGTTATTTTTTAAATTTATTGCATATTTCATGATCAAACTGTTTGTCATACGTATGAAGAAATGAAAAAAGAAAATAATGAATTACTGGAGATGTATGAGTTGAAGCAAATGGAACTAGACAAATTGAGCAAGAAAAAAGATGAACTTGATCTTGACCTTGCTAAGTCACCACTAAAACAGCAAGCTAGTAAATTTACTGATTAAATTTACTAATAAACTATTAATAATACGATAATCAGTTTTGTACAGTGTTGATTATGATGCATCAAATGGTGCAAAAATTTAATTTGGTTAACCTATGTACTATTTGAATTTATCACCAATATTTTTTTGCAGTAATGAACAAATTTTGAATTCAAAATTCATTTTTTCAATGCATTCAATGATCGTTATGCCATTACCAATTATTTCATTTGTTTGCAGTGATTCTTCATGAACGTTTGGCAGAATTGGAAGCAAAAAAGATATCAATAAGTAATGAAATAAGTTCCATAGATACTCCTCAAGAACAACGTGAACGTTTATTGCAAGTTGTTATTCGGACAACCGAGGAAATCAGCGTAATAGATAAACAGTGAGTGATATGAATTATCAACAAATTAAAGGATATTTTATTTTTGCTTTGATTACAAGAATGCATTTTATGAATAAATAATCTCTTTCCAACTAATTTAATTAGAATCATCTTTATATACAAAGTCTAGATTGAACAAAGTAAAGGAGCAAACTGAGCAAGCTCGAGAAGAATTACGAGAATTTGATAAGGAAATGGAAAATGCAGCAGGTTTCCTCTTCTGTGTAATTATATTTTAGCTATTATTGTCATTGTCATATTTTATTGAAACAATTATCTGTATTTTTTCTAAGGCAAAAAACATAAGGTTGACGACTATCAATGAACTTTTTTTTAACGATTTGTATTTAAAAGCTTTTATTATTTATGACAGATTACTGTCGTTTCAGATTACTGATAATCTCTTTGTGGACGTGTAACTTTTTATGTTTTTAATTAATTTTCTACAAAAATTAAGGTGAGAAAAATGAAAAATACCATGACTTGAAACTAAAAGAAATGCAAATCGATGAATTTCTGAATTCATACGCCACTTTGAGAGCAGCAGAAGAAACACGGATTGATGAAGCATCACGTGATGTGCTTCGCATTTTAGAACTACTATCAATCAATATCACGAGCTTATCTTCAATTAACGAATCAATAAATCTGAAGTTCAAGCTATTAAAATTTGGTGAAAATGCTTCAACAACAGAAATGAAAGAATGTTAGCAATAGCTTTTATCACAAGCTAAACGAGACAATTCTAAACTTGTAATATAGTTTTGAGTACTTCAAATTTGTCATTCAAAAAATTAAATACAAAAATGATAATTTCAAAAATTATTCAAATTCAAAATTTATTTTCAGTATGTGTTCGCTTACAGTATGAATTGATCAAAGTAAATGAGACAGAAAAAGATTTGGAAGTAAACAATAAAGAAATTAGTGAAGAAATGAATGGAATGATTGAAAAGATGAACAAATTTGAAAATTTTGATGCTTTGAAACTCAAAAAAGAACAAAAGCATATGGTATGATGTTCTTGCAAGGGTTGTACCGAGATTTTTGAGATGTAATATAATAAAACTACCGAAAAAAATAATTTGTGTAAAAAACAAAGAAGATAATCATCAACTGATCTGCACATGTAAAGTAATATAATAAGTTAATATAAACTTTAGGAACTGCAAGATCGTCGCAACAGACTGATCGAACAACTACCTAAAATCCAAAGTTCATTCAGAAATGTAATGAAAGAATTAGATCGCACGAAATCGCAGTTAGAAAATAACTTGCAGTACATCGAAGCAAGCAAATATTTTGCAAATTTAGCCTTAAACAAACGAAGAAAATAGTATTTTTGCACCTGTTAAAATTTTAATTAGTATATTTTTATTGAAAAATGAAATATGGTTGAATTCTTGAGCTAATTAATTGTTTTGAATTTCTGTGTGCTTTCATTTTGAGTTAATATCTGATATCTTTGCTCCAAAAAATAAAAATTATGATTCTTAGCTTGGAAATGTCTTAAAAATATGGCAAGATAAAGAACGAAATTTGGCATTTTTACGTGAAAAAGTTGCGCAGTATGAAGAAGCAACAAATTACAAGCCGTTAAAAGAAGAAGTAAGATATTATCATTTGCTTCTGCTAGTATTTCTTTGATTATTTACGTGACGTTTTGAGGAGGGCAAAAAATGTCCTCTCCACTTGTTCTTCCACTGCAAAGCAAGCACAGCTAAGTAAACTATGAATACTTGCATTTGACTAACTTTTGTAATCAGTCTTTGCTCTCCAAGTCTTAATTAAGCGAAATTCCATTCTTCAACTGATGTTTTAGTTAAATGAAACCGGTATAGATTAAAAATTAATCATCTTAGCTTTCTAAAAGCAGTAAACATGTCTAACTAAAATCTTTTGGAAATTTTAACTTGAAATTGTGTATAACTTTTAAATTAAATTTCAATGAATTCAAATTTGACATTATTTGTTTATCTCATACATGCTGATGAGTACTTGAAATGAAAGTAATAAATTTTTCAGTGATAGAAATTCTTCCTTCTTTTTAATTATGAAAAAATGTACGCAAAAATGTGAACTAAAAATTTAATTATTCAATTTTCATGTAAATTTCATAATTTAAAAAATTTTGCTGAGAAAACATTTCAGGCTTTACGACTAAAAGAAACTTTCAATACGCTGCTATTGACGTCCATGAAAGTATGATAATGTTACGGATCATAACTTTGACGTTGATCACTGGAACAAATATTATGACCACGTTATAAACGCTACTTTTAATGGAGCCACATAATTTAAGTATTTTGTCATCAAAATTTCAACTCAATTTGACTTCATTTCAACTAAACATTAACATAGTGTAACTTTTTTTTACATTTAACACACATAACAACAATACACATAGTATTTGCTAGTTTGAATGACACTCAGCGTAATAAATTGCATCAGACTATGGCTAGGAGTTCAGATTCAAGTACAGTACTCATTTAAAGTCTTTCACGAATTGATCTGCTTTTGAGTTTTGAATTAAGTCTTAAACTTGAACTAGGCGTGTATTGAACTTGAACTAAGCAGATTTATAATATGTTGTATTTGCTTGAGATTTTATTTTTTGCTGCACATTGTATTTGCATTCATGATCTCTATCAATTCTGCTTATAAATTACTGTGTTGTATCACTTCAATGTATGATTCATTTGATATTGCCTGTTAATGGTTCACTGACTCAGTGATTCAAACATTATGAAAAAAAGATCTGTCAGTATTCAAATATGGCTTCAGTTCTTTGAGTATTTATTTATTGACTACTCGCAATTTCAGATCATGTTATAATTTTTTTTCATAATCCA